TTTTGAGTAGCCGCGTATATCGTCGTTCACTTATTGTTGTAGCGGCTGCACTGCCACGGCTACGTAAATATTCCAAGACCTGATCGGCTTACTATACACAATTTCCTTAAGGCAGCCCCAATAAAAAAAATACAGTGGATTTAGGTCCGGTGAACCCAAAGGCCATAAAATTGGCCCCAGACGGTCGATCCATCTGTCTGGGTATGTTCTATTCAAATATGCTCGAACAGGGACCGCATAGTGCGCAAGACAGCCGTCATTTTGTAACCAATGGGATTCCCTCAGCTCCTCGGGCACGTTTTCCATTAAATTAGGCAGATCATTCTGGAGAAACTCCAAATAATTTTGACCAGTTAGGTTCCCCGGTAGTTCAAATGGTCCTATTACTTTTCCATTTAATATTCCCGTCCAATAAATTATTTTAAACTGGTACTGTGATCGGTCTTCCCGCATAAATGGGGTTATTTTTTATACATGACAGGCAAATGACTCCACTCCACCTGATGTTAAGTGGAAAGTGGTATCCAAACGCGAAGGAACCTAGTGCAGCGATGAAACCCTCACTGCACTAGCCACCTCCACCCGGCCTGCCTACAATATGCCTCTTCACGCCTCGTTTGAAGGACCCCATATCATAAGAGGGAGGGAAGACATGTGCCGGAAGGGAGTTCCATTTGTCAACCGTGCGGCAGAGAAAGGAGCCACCGAACCTTTTAGTACGCGATGGAATGCGGCAGGTAGTGAAACGGTGATTACGAAGGCCAGCACGCGTGCTTCTGAGCAGGAACGGGGAAGGGGGGATGAGGTTGAACAGCTCTTCAGAGCACTCACCATGGTACATGCGGTAAAAGGCGCTAAGCGATGCAACATCTCTACGCAGTTGCAGAGGTTTAAGGCGTGATGAGACCTCTTCGTCGCCTATAATTCGAGTAGCACGACGCTGTAATTTATCCAAGGCATCGAGTAGATACTTGGCGGAGCCGTCACACAAGTGCGAACAATACTCAACGCAAGACCGGACCTGTGTTTTGTATAGCAGGCATAACTGGTCCGGCGTGAAAAAACGCGGCACCTTGTTCAGTACTCCGAGTTTCCGTGAGGTTGTTTTGATCACAGATTCGATGTAGCTCCTTGGATTCAAATCACAGCAGATTTCCATACCGAGCAAGGTAAAACTGCTCCGAGGTGAAAGTGCTGTGCTCATCAGAGAAGGCATGGGAAGGGTTTTGAAGTTCCCAGCTATGGAGATTATGTAGATTTAAATAGCCATCTCTTTTAATTCATCTCTGATTCATCACTCCATAGAATTTTGTTAAAAAATTGCGGGTCTTCCTCTATCTTACCTAGCATTTGTCGGCAAAAACGTTATCTTGAAGCGTAATCTCTCGGTTGGAGAGTTTGCACGCATGTAACGTGGTAGGGATGGAATTTATTTTTCTTTAAAATATCGTGCACAGTCGATTTTCCTATTCCCGTGTGTCGTGCTATTACTCTCGTCGAGGTGGAAAGATCTTGCTCAGTTTCCTCAAGCACTATCTCTTTGTTGTCACTACCAGGCATTCTTCCTTCTGAGTAACATGGATGGACCCTCATGAAGACGCGGTAATCTGGGTGACGAGCACTATGGTATCTTTCCCTATAAGAGCTGCAGCTGCATTTGCGTTGGTTCCACATTCCCCATAAATAATATGCATGTTTGCATATTTTTAGGGCGTATACTGAATGCGTGGTATTTTTATTTACAGACCCAAAAACTCTGTTCAGTCTAGAAATAAGCCAAATCGTCGCAATAATCAAACAAACAAAGTCCTAATCAGTAAGCAAAACGATAGTCCATTAAAGAGCCAGGTCATCGTTTTAACACTGATTGAAAGTAAATCACAACAATTGCGAACGGATAACACATGCGATATCGAACAAGTCAAGTGACGTACTAATTCCCTGAAAACATTTGCTAGCCGACACTGACCCTCCTTATCCCATATAAAACAAAAGACGAGTGGTGCGGCGACGGCGCAGGTAACAAATAACTGTCGCACGTGGTATATTCACGGGTGGTACATTCATGGTTTATTAACAATGTCAAAATTGTATAGATTTGATTTATGCATTCTTATGCTGTAAACAAATTATAAATAAAGTTGTATTTATGTCTAATATTGTTTTTTTTATTAAACCTCAATGCTCAATTGTCAAATGTCAAGCTCAATCCAGGACCAAAAATGGTCTATGTAGTTTTTAGTCAAATTTACTCCTTTTGCACATTAATAGCAATAGTTGTCTATTTATATTAGATACAATAATGAATTATACCATTTTGAAATCTACTTTAAACACACATTATTTTAGAATACTTGGCCACTCAGGTTATCATAATACGTAAAATAATTAAATTTAAAGAAAAAATATATCTTAGGTACTACGTGGGATATATTTTTCTTTATATTTTTTTCACAACGTTCACAAACTCTACTATAAGGCATTCTTATCCATTCTTTACTGAACACCCTGTACAGAGGATGTAATTTTTTGCGTTTGATTTGCGGAAAATCAAATAAATTGCGTTTGTTAACAAAGTACAGAACATTGCAATATCTCTTCTACACTTCAAGTTTTATTTTCTCGTATATTAAAATGGTCTTGATCTAAAATTTCGCTGTTAGTGGCGAATTGGGATAATTAGTATGAGATATGTTAATTTAAGTAAACGTCAAAAAAGACCAGAATCGCTGGTACTAATACTATAAATAATACAATAAACTGTATCGACCCATCTATAATGATGACAAGTTATCTAATTTCCACTATACATTTTCCACAAGTCTCAAATAGGCAACTAAGAATATAAACAACTGGTACACTCTCATTACATTTGTCCACTGTTTCTACTGTCAGTGCTATAATTAGAATGTCTAATGTCTACTAAAACAACGGTTCATCTTGTTGTTTCTACGCATTCTCGTTAACTCAGTAATGTGCAGCAATTTCAAGTATAAAACAAGGTTTTGTCACCTCATAATCGTCTTAAAAGATCTTAACAAAGGTTTTTGTACTTTCTGGAACGTTGAGTTTGTAAGTAGAATTGTTAATTATTGTAACAATTGAACTTGTTCTGTTAATATGGTTTTGTCTTTCTGCCAGGTTAAACTGGTTTGTTTTTTTTAGGTCAATATTTACTTTTTGCATGTCGGCGATGGTTCACAAAAATCGTTCAAATGATTTAAAGTTCAGAACCCGCATTTGGATCAGGGTTGTAAGTTATGCTAGTGTAGGCATCTTCATATTAAAGAATATGGCATATGGATATTATTATATTACATAAGTATGTATCTGTCGCGAATTCCTTGCTTTTTTATATACTTTTGCTATGTTTTTGTTTTTCACGTTTGCTTGTCAGTGGTGTATCTGGTGACGTATTATAATGATGTTTCTCATCATAAGTATTTGTGCCCAGTTCTGTTCGTTTACTCAATCCTTTTCTATCTTTTTGCTCATTTCTATCTTTTTCGATACAAACAGTCCATATCATTCACCTGCCCTATCATTTTTTCCATTTTTAGCTTTAATTAAAGTATTCTTGTCATAGTTCTAGAAACCCTTTAACAAAGTTAAATTCCTTTACGATTGTCGCCATGGAGCGCTAGTGCGCCGTGACCAACTATAAAAACCTAGTTAAACAGGCGATTAAAGCATTTATAGAGACTTGTGGTGGTCCACTGACTAACATTGTCGTTAATGTGCTATATAATGGCCGATTAACTTTTGCTCTAAGTTTAAGAGAAGTTAAATGTCTTATGGATTATTTTAGTCTTTTTAATGTTAAATTAAAATTACCATGTCAACATAGTGAATAAAAAGAATATGTTTTGTGATAATTTGATGAGACAATGTGAGATAGCCTCAATGAAAACTTTAATTTAAAATGAAAAATAGGCAAAAAATTGGACGGAAAAAAACATGCAGTCGAGAAACCTTTGGTTCATAAAGAATAAGAAAAACGATGCAATTTGAAGGCGTATTGGTGAATGGCATTTGTAAAACATTAATAAGAATAAAAGAAATAAAACAGATGTAAAATAGATGAGTTTCTAAGTAAGAGAGCCATTGTTTACCATTTATCATTGAAGATGGAAACACGTGGACTTCGAACTTTGTCACAGCAGATCTTTATTGTTCATATAACAGCTGATCTTGGGATCAACGATATTATAAATATACACATTAACCCTATTATTAAACACAAGATAGAACGTTAGTGTTAATTTGTTTATTTAAAAAATATTTACACCTAAATGTAGTACACGAATAGTTTGCTAAATTATTCTTTAGCCTTCACTGTAGTATTTCCAAGTATTAACAGATGTTGGAAACGTTAGTCTAGCACAGGAATAAGATGTGATTATTGTAAATTTTAAACGTTTTCAAATCATGTAAGTTTTACAGAACAAATTAAATATTCCATCTACTTTTGGAAGAAACTTGTCTATATTTTCTTGGTTATTTACATTATTAGCATGAAAAACAAAATGTGAAATGAGAATGATATCACCGAACATTTATCATTACTTCAATATTGATTTCCGTATCTCTCAGTAAACAAAACGAGACAAAACATTATATTAATGGCTTTGTATTGGAAGTTGCCCTTACGAAGGTGACACAGCATCATTAATTGACATTATCTAAGATTCTATTATTCTTATCTAAATAATTCTAAGGTCAACAATTAGTTTAGATCGGTATTGTTTAGTGTGTATTGGTTAGTCGGTAATTACAAATCAGGTTATTAAACGCAAATTTGAAATCAAGACGTGTAAGGGAATTCGTGATGATGAAATTGAAACTTTTCTATTTTTAGATGAAATAAGTAACCTAGATTATTTACAAAGATAGGAAATAACACATAGAGTTCATACTGTAACGTATATATAGAAAATTGTCTAATATTTAATACTTTATTAAAATCAAAAGCCAATGGTACTAATAACAATAATACTTACTTATTCTGTTTCACTGGCGTAGTTGACGGCGTGGGCCTCTTCCTATCCTCTTCTTTAATCGTACTATTATTCATTTTTGATGTCAATCGTTTCAGCACATCATCCATAGACCGCTTATGAGGCGGGGCAAGCGATAACGCACTGTTGTGATTCAGCAGTGAATTATTATTATTACAAAGTCCCAAAACTTTAGCTTCAGCGCCTGGACTACTGCATTCTGACGAGTCTCGCCTTCTGCTTTGCAGGTCTTGGTGTAAACTAAGAAATGATGATGGGACTAGAAGGTTATTTGTCATGTCTAGAGATTCGAATCTTTGCTTTTTACTGGGTCTTTCGTCTTCGTAATTTGTTGCGTCTTCTTCACTAATAGAGCTCCTTGTTGAACAACTTGGAGAGAATTTGTAATAGGTTTGTTGATCGATGTCTGATTCGTTGTCAGGAAATTCCAGATTGGCAGGGCCTGCCTCTTGTTTCTCGGCGTCCGCAGCACCTTCTTGCAATTTGGACGGTGGCGACTTACGTTTAGATGACATGTTTCTGCAAAAGAATAAAATATGTTAAAAATAGTAAACGTATGCGCTAGCGTATAGTGGGACTCGAAAAAAGACAAACTGAGACGTAAACACCAACTATCGATTTTACGGTTGGTTCTATTTAGACCTCACGGTTGTGAAATTTTACAAAATAGTTCCTGACAACTTTCGTTCAATGTTACCTCTATTTTTCTGACCCAAATAAACCGTTAATGTCTTTCATCCGCATTTAGTCCCCTTACAACAAATAAACAACATGAAGTTTCCACAATCTTACGACAAATGCAAATATACTACTGATTATCCCGGGTCAGACATTTGTCACCAAACTTGAGTCTAAAGTAGAGATGTATGCGTCGCCGCCATATTGCCGTCGATGACGATTTTTCCACGCCACCGCAGATGAAGAATATGAGCGGCGTAAAATCGGCGTGGCAAAAAAGTATCAGCTTCTTTGTTAATTATTACTTTTTTATTACTGTTTGATTTAGTTTTGGCTCCAGTTTTCTATAAAATGTACTATCTTTTGTAAGTTTTTTTAGTAAATACCTTTCTAGTTTTCGTACATTTTTTCGAAGGAAAATGGAGAAATAAACGATATTTTATATTTATTTCAAGAGAAGATTGCAATCTCTGTACCGTGGTACGGGATCTAATATTTCCTTCGATGAAAAATCCCAAGCAGACATAGGCAAGATACAATATTGTTTAATGTATATTTTATTTTATATTTTTTCCAATTTCCTTTTATGTTAATTTTGATTTAGTCAAAAATGCGTGTTATTGTAGTTGCGTTTATGATTTTCGTAACTATAGTTCAGAATTGGGCGGTTTGCCTAATATCACTTCAGTCTGCTATAATAAAAGCACCTATATAGACCCCGATACGTTGCTTTGTTTGAAAAACAAAATCTACGTTATTTAGTTCCACAAAAATTATTTCTTTTCCAATATTTTAGTTTTTTCAATCTGAATATTCATTCAATCTGATTTCACATCGTTTACGCCGCCACCGCCGCCGATTTCACGACCGACCCATCTCTAATCTGAAGTAACTAATTGAGCTACGCTAATTGTACTAATTGCAGCCTCCTTTGGGCTTAAGGTGTTTGGACCGAATGAATGTTTTGATAACAAATTAGTTGCATTGGGTTGACCCAATCCTAAAACGACCAAATAGGTATGTTTAATACATTTAAATATAGTTTATTTATTAAAAAAAATAAGTCTTGCGATTGTTGAGGATAGAAAGCAGAAAACATTTAGGGAATTAAATGACCTTATTTGATAATTTTTCCGATAGAAACCATCACATAGATATTTTTACTATGGGTTCCGAGTTGGATGGCTGCATCGTTCTTGGATTTAATTATAACACTCTCAGTGCGCTTAGTATATTTTTTCAGATGAAGATCGGGTATATTATCTTGTATATATAATTTAAACTCCTCTTTGAAACCAAACTATCACCTGACGAGTATTTGCTGTGTATCTTAATCGTACATTAGCAAGTTGATTTATGGAATTAACGCGCAGCGAATACATCGCTGAGGATACATCTGTGTCTTCAGGCCCGACATCTTCATTGGTTGTGTCAACAACCAAATTTCTTGCTCAGACACTGTCTGCTCTTTGAAGTTTGTCCGTCTGTTTGTTTATTTAGTAAAATTTAACTAGGTACTATAACATAAGTGTATACATGAATTTAACTCTAGATTTTGAAGTTTATTGTGATAACAAAACTAAGTATTTCAATATAATTGTGAATATACGAGTAAATATTTGAATGGTTTAACTATTCAGTTAAATATTTAGGTAATAATCTTAGTAATTAGATAATATTAACACAAGAAATAAATTAAAAATTTACTGAATTAGGCACTGAATTTTATAATAACTTTTGACATTTTGTGTAGCTTTGGGTCACACCTACGCGTTAAGTCTTATTCAAAATTGTATTCTACACCATTTACATAAAGTTTTATGTGTAAATTTGTGTGTGTGTTCCTATCAATATATAATATTTTCTGTCACCCTATTCGGTTCACAAATGTGACTGTACGTTCGGTAAAATAAAATCGATATGTGTACAGAACTAAAATCGATAAAAGGCCCATTAACACAGAGACGACAGAAATCGAATTAGAGGCGAGACAATCGGAACACTGTGCTCAAATTGAAAATCGATATTCTAGACTAAAATATGTAAAAGGCAGCAAGTTAACAACTATTTTAGATAAAACATTTAAAAGTACTTAATAATGTTTTAATGTAACATTTTGATTTCAGTAATTACCTTTATGAATTACGAAGTAAAGGCAATTACAGCTCACAGTTTGTTAAGTATAATTATAATAATAGTAATAATAACGCACACACTCAACATAGCCCCGCACTAGGGAAACCCGTTGTCGCGGGTGCCATGGACACACACATAGACAACCACAAATTACAACCAAACTCACGAGAGAAATAAATGTAGGCCATACAAATATTTCTCCCGGCCAGAGAATCGAACCTGGGACTTCTGCGTGGCAGTCCGGCATGGTAACCTTTCGGCCACAGAGGCAGTTATATATATTACAATAGCATTGCAACGTATGCATTATATATAATTATATATAGTTATATATAATGCATACGTTGCAATGCTACTCAAAAAAAGGCCGTTTGTCTTTAGATCGCTTTTACGGCTTTAGATATATTTGTAAAAACAAAAGTAAGCCGCGTAGTGGAAAGGTGCCTCTGTAAAAGGACCACCTTTACGATGCATTTGTTCATACGTTGAAGTAGTAGAGTTCGTCCAGGAAAGTACTGCGACCTTATCTATGCCGTCAAGCAGTAATGTGAAGATTACTGCGTTCCGGTTTTTAAGGACATGTGTGCTAATAAAATTACAGGTACATGTGACAGGCGCAGTGTGGCTGTGTCCCTCCAATCTTTGTGATTTGGAGTGACAGGTTAATACCAGACACGTGAATTATTCGTTCCGTGTCACTTGTACATAAATCCATAAAATTAAAAATTGGCCTATTTGACTTTTTTAAATGGTTCTAATACATCAGAAGCTTTTGCGGACGTGGGTACAACCATCACCAAAGTTTTGTCGCAATTGGGTAAATTATAACTGAAAAATCAATGCGTTTTAACTTGAAACATATTACGATTTGTTTATAAAATATACAATATTTATTTTTAATACAAAAATTCCCACTTATAATATAATTCTACGCAGTAAATCAATAACACTTGACAATAATAAATCTTAACACCCATTTCTGTCACTGACTTCTCCTGTATTCACTATAGTTCTGCTTTTACAAACATACAAAAGCAGCTATTTTACAATAAATACCATACAAATTCAAGGCATAGATATTTTAACGACGGTAAAAGCAAGTTGGCCATAGTAACTATTAATTTCCTTTCCATTACGTGTACAATGACGTCACGCAGGCGGGAACAATATAGGCGAACCGGCGGGAAATATTGCGGAAATGTATTTCCAATACACATTATTCCTGATACAATAGTGTTCATTATCGATTGTCTTACAAGTAGATTATGAATTGGATTTGATTATGTTTGTAGAGAAACAGGTAGATAACAAATAGGTAATAGTGGTAAATATTTGCCAAATAATATATAGGATAAGATGTATTTTGTTAAAATTATTAATACAAACTCGAACCAACGTCTTTTAGCAAACCGTGTCAGACTTTATGCCAACTAAGCTAAGGAACGAACTAGCGGACCTTACGAATTTTTAAATGAGCTTGTTTCGGATCGTTTTTGGTTTATTAACGACTTTTTAAGACGTTTTTTTTTTCCATTTCACTCACATCACGTTATTACATCGCTTTTTTGTTACGTTAAAGTATATTCACTCATACATGTGGACACACTTGTCTTTAAACCACGTTTTGGTTAACAGAATAAAGTTACGTAAAATAATAATTTTTTTTTAGAAGTTTTCAATTAAATTGATAGATTTATAACAATTATAATAATTGTCTATATATGTATAAACCCACTGCTGGGCATTGGAACTTCATACATATCATTAAATTACTTTTTACCTGTGCACGTTTCTTACGATGTTTTCCTTTACTGAAAAGCTAATGGTTAATTTCAAACTAAATAAATTCCGAAAAACTACGTGAAAGCACGGAGTCGAATCCACGATCTTCTGCTTGAGATGTGGTAGGCCAAACCGTCAAGCTACCAGGGCATTTTTACCTTAAAAATAAAACAGATAATTGAACATTTTCTGTTATCGTAAAATAATGTTCACATTATATAAAATAAAGCTACGAGAAGTGACAAAAACATGTCTCGTATACAGAAAAAAAACACCAAAGACGATATTGCATATTTCACGCAACGCTAGGAAGGCAATGAAATTGTTCACGCCAAGCTCAATAGAGCACAGCTGATTCCAAAGCAAGGGGGACATGTCATGAACAAATTGAGTGCAAATTGTTTTCGTTAAACGAAACGCAAAACCCTTCTGTTGCTTATATTCGGTTTTATATTTTATTCTTTTACTCTCCAGTGAAACTGTTTAAGGAATAAGAAATAGAAAGTCGACTCATCCGCAGAACAAAGTCCGATGTGATTATTAGCAAAAAGGAATAAGTACGTTACGAGAATAATTTCGTTTTTCTAACTAAGGCCTGTGTAAAGATGTTTTGAGAATTTATATATCTTATTTAGTTTCGGAAATATAAAATCGAGCAACGGTCGATCTGACACCCACAGCGAAGAAGAACGAACGAAGTGTACTATGTCCTGAAAACAAGTAGTCTTGCACATAGATCTTTGTTCTACGGATGAATCGATTAGTTTTACGGAAAGAAGCAAGAGCGGTAGCCTCTCAAGTAGAGGCCGTGAGCTCGAATCCTGCCTCACACCTTTTAATTTCTCGGAATTTATGTGTGTAATTTAATTTGAGTGAAGTAAAACATCTGAATAATACAATAGTAAATCCCCAACCCGGT